GGTGTGAGACGTGCTAATGGCACTTGGCTCAACCAGCAATGGGCCGGAAGTCTGTAGCATGTATTCGCTTGGAGGGGCGCTGCCCCTACTGCTTTCCGAGCTGCCCTGGACTTCCAGCCAAGCTTAATAAAACAACGGCAGGTGTTGCGTCAAGCACTCACTTTGCGTCGCGTACGATGGCAAGGCTGGTGGGTGTCAGCGGGATGGACGCCTCCCCTTGAAGCAGCGATAAATTCTGCAGGGCCTCGCGCTCGGCCGCTGCCTCTGCGCCAGCAGTTGTCGTGGCCGGCGCCCTGCCTGTGATGTTGACCAGGTTGGTGGCCAGGATTTCGCACCCGGCGCGCACGCGGGCTGTGTCCAGGGCGACCTGCTGCGTATGAGTAAGCCAAGAGGGAGGGGCTTGAGGTGCAAATGGGGTGACACGGATGTGGTTGGGTAGGTAGCACTGCCGCCGAATAGGCTGAGGGTGCATGCTGGCAATCACAAGCTGGCCATCAGGCTCATGGGCCTGATACCAGTGTTGCCATTCCAGGAACCATGCACTTGTGTCACTGGCAGCATTGAAGCGCGCCAGCCCAAAGCCCTCATGAAGCCACGTGCAGCACTCACGTACTCCCTGTCGCTGCCTGGCAGGGCCGAGCCCGACACCATGAGGCGCAACTTGTCTCCACCCTGTGATAGCAGCCTGTCGTCAATCAGCTGCACAAGGCCCTTCCAGGTGTCCTCGCCCACCAGCCGGACGCTGCTGAGATACAATTGAAACGGCTTGGGCCGCTCCGCCGGCAACATGGGGGGAGCCACTGCAGGTGCGCAGCAAATGAGCAGGGAGGAATATGGTGGCGTGGCTGGTGCCGTGAAGCGAACAAGTGCACGCCTAGCAATAGCAGTCGTTGATGGGATGCTGGGCATGACCTTGATGGCAGCAATCTCTGCACGTTAGCACAAGATGCGTGTCAGAGACAGGTGAGCTGAAGCGAAACCTGCAACCGTGCGCGCGAGGCACACACTCTTTTGTGATGTATTGATCCATTACATTTGCCACTGCCAATCAAGCACTTTGACACGTACATGCTGCTAGAGCTTCACATGTCACCAGTCTGCATGTTGCATTGCTGCAGTCGCCTTGTATTCGTCATGCCCGCATACACTCACAGTCACAGCCGAACGTTTGACACCACAAGGCTGACCGAGGCTGGTACCCCAGGCACAGAGCCCTGTGTCCTCGTTTGACACCCCCGCTCCCGCGCTTACTCACCCAGGGGAAGCTGCATGGTGGCAGCAACGGGCTTGTGGTCCGATGTTGTGATTTCGGGGCAGCACCAATAGGCTCCAAGCTGTGCCGCCTTGTGGGGGAGGTTGCTGCGCACCAGGACGCGGTCGCACCATGCTGGGGAGCGCTTGGCACCATAGGCCAGGCCTGGCTCCCCCTTGAGCACCTTGAACGTCGGCGGGAAGCACACTGGAGCCTCCTTGAAGCCGGGAAACACGCGGCCCCCCCGCATCTCCCGCGCCAGCTGGTCCCCTGCTAGGAGCGGCGCGTAGTCCTGAGCCTGCACGAGCGCCACCATGGCTGCATGGTCCTCAGAGGTGGGCGTGTCGCTCTGTGTGGTGGCCTTGGAGAGGGCCAAGGGATGGGGGAGAATCTCAGCATGAAAGTGCATGCCATATCCATCTTCAAAAGTGGTGCACACACGAGTAATACAAAGCCAGGATGTTGGCAGCAGTAACACCTACCTGCTGGCCCCAATCTACGCGGTAGTTAAGATCTCCCATCCACACTATATGGTGGGGGCCCGTCACGATATTGGCGCGGCCAAAGCCAGGGGGGCACAGCTGCAAATGCATGCGGGAGAGGGGAACGTCGCACAACAGAGGGAAGTCAGGGAAGGTGTAATCAATCAGCATCCTTGTTGGTGCCCATGCCACATGATCGCGGCGGCATGCGTGGCTGTCTCTTGCAACGAAATTGCAGGCGGCAGGGCTGCATCCCCCAGCAAAGTGTCAGACACCATGCCGCCCACCTGTGGCGCGACCTGCAGTTTGTCCCGGCCCATGATCCACTGGCCCAAGGGCCCCATATGCTGCCCGATATTCCAGGCGACCCACCTCCTGGGTGATTTCTGCGACGTCCTGATTGCGGCGTTTGCACTCCGACTGGTGTGCAGCCAGGTGGGACCCCACAAACGCCAACTGTGTCCCGCCAATGCGCAGCGAGATGCCAACACCGCCTTTGTTGAGCCCGATGCGGCCCAGCCCAGTGGCCTCGTAGCTGCTCCACAGGCTGTGGATGGGTGCACAGGTTCGGTGTGGGTGGGGTCGCTCAGGGACAATGCAGCTTGCAGGCTCCTTTGCAAGACTCAAATTGGCATTGATGTGCAAACGTGAATGTCAAGTCGGCAGGCTCTGCTGCCCGTGTGGTTCGTCCGACTCCCTTGTGACAAAGCCCCAGGCTGTGGCCACAGTGCAGACACCCACTCCTGGATGAAGGGAACGACGTCCATGCGTGCAAAGAGCAGCAGCCGCGTCTGGAACATGTGCTCAGAGCAGACCAGCCAGTAGCGTGGACCAACGACATCAGAAATGTGAGCCTCCTGCGAGGCAGCGCCCCAGGGGTAGATCCAGGAAAAGCACAGGGAGGTGTGGCGGCCGTGAATAGTGTCGAGTTTACTTCTACATGTGGCCAAACAATGCAATACCAAAGTTTTCAACCTCCGGCACGCAGCACACTGTCCTGCAACTGGCCTCACCCATGCACTGGCTGAGTCGATGTTCTTGGCTATGATGCCTCTGAGGGACTTGCTGCTGCTCATCATCTTTGCCCTAGCAGCTTCCTGGAACCAGCCGTTGGGCGCGTGGGGAGGGGGCGGGGTTGCGCAATGTGACAGTCATAGGTGCTCTCACATGTGGTTGTATGCATGTGTTGATGTGCCAGATCCACCCCTCGCATGAGCAGGCCTGACACCATCAACGCTGATGTCCAAATTTGTTGTTGATCAATCATCCACCAAACCACTTAGCCCCCAGGTTGTCTGCACCCCCATCCATCCATTCATTCATCCACCCATCCATCCATCCATCCATCCATCCAACCATCCATCCATCCACCCATCCACCCATCCAACCATGTGACCATGTCGTCATCCTTCGTTCTCACTTTCCCATTCGCAGGTGCCAGCCCAGTCATGTCACCCTCCTCCACAACTGTCTCGTCGTCGTCCTCATCATAGGTGGTGTCGAGTGCCTGATGTGCCGCAGCCGCCGCAACAGACTGGGACGTCCCAACGGACGGAGCAGACATCAGCGTCACAAGCCCACCGCTGCGATCGGGACCGCTGCCGCTGCCGCCGCCGCCGTCTCCACATCCTCCGCCATCGCCGCTGCTGTTGCCGCCATCGCCGCCGCCCCTGCCGCCGCCGCCGCCGCTGCTCTCTGCTGCGCCCGCTTCAGGCTGGGTTGAGCCCTCGCGAGCAAGTGCCAACGTGGTGCTGTTGTTGCTGCTGGCGCGCGCTTGCCGGGAGCTCTTGTGGTAGCTGCACTCCTGCGCGCTGACGACCACGAGGTGGTGGTCACCCGCACCCTCGGTGCCGCGCAGCCACAGCGCCCGCAGCTGCTCGGGATGCGGGGGCAGCGCGTTGCCCACGTTCCAGGTGGCTGCCAGCACGTTGAGGGAGCCCGTGGTACCAGCCAGCGCCGCCAGCCTGCTGCGAGATGACAGGAACACCTGCACTTCCAGCTCCCGCACCACCCCAGGGGGAGCTGGCATGGCCGTTAGGCCCTCAATGCTGAGCGACAGGCGATGCGGCTCCGCGTACAGCTCCGGCCTCGACGACACCTTGGACAACGGCAGGGTTGCACGGCCCAGGGGTGCTGCAGCGGCAGGGGAGATGGTCGAAAAGCACGGTTCAGCTTCATGCCAACTTTCCTTGTGCCCTGCTGGCCCATCAACTGCTCATCATTTGCAGGGTACGCCTCCTGTGCTGAGCGCCTGATACCGCGCAACAACACCTGTTGCTTTGCAAGATGCTATAACGGGCGGCTGGTGCTCACGGTTGGTGGGGGAGAACGGCTTGTCATGTTTGACCTTGAGCACCAGGGCCGCCTGGTCTGGGTCGTTGACATCAAATGTGAACAGCTGGGAAAACTGAGGTGATACCGTCTGTGGCGCAAGGGAGAGTGAGATCCCGGGCATGAGATTGCAGCTCTACGCAAGGTGCGCTAGAGATTGCGCCCCGCTCCAAAGCATCCGTGCAGATGATGCACGGTAACACCGTGGGCGCCTGGCACAGGCCTTACCCCAGTGAGGAAGGGCGTCTTGTGGGTCTTCCCGCCGCATGACACCTTGACGTATGTCCGGCAATCCTCCGGCACTCCATGGGCGCTGCGAACCAGCACACTCACGCGCACGTCACCGTCCATCAGCCCGTCCAGCGCCTGCGGCCTGCATCATGAGCCCAGCAGAGGAGCTCTTGAGCGCCACATCATGGAGACCCTCGCTGTCTTGCGCTGATCATGCACGCATGGTGGCCCAAGGCAACATGTCACAGGCCCAGACATGCGCGTGCGCAGCATTTGCCAACCTCAGGCAGTTCTTTGCGAACGCCGACCACGTGCGACCGTCAACAGCTCTGCGGTCGATCATGCTGGGCGCCGAGTTGGCGGCGCTGGCACCAAACAGGTCGGCCGCCTCTGCTGCAGACACCGAGTCACGAGACACGGCCGTGTCCTTGAGGACTTGCCCTTGGGCATGGGTGAGGCTGTGGTCGCCGCTGTTGCTGTGACCCGCCACTGAGCCTGGGCCTGGGCATGGTCCGAGGGTCTCGCCCGACGCCTGGCGCAGCGACTCGACAGCGCGGTGCCAGTTCACCGCGGCGCGTGATGCCGGGTCCGTCGCACCTGCACACATTCAATCAGAGACGGGGAATGTGTTGTTTTCTGGGAGCGCGCAAACCAGACATGCCTATCGGTATTGACAGCTTTCATGGGCGTCACCCAGCACGGTGCATGGTGCAGGCCACGCCAGTGTGGCGTGCCCTTGGCGCAGCGCAAGTACTGGTTCTGGCAAAAACACACCTGTCATATAGGCGCCCTTGACCACACCGCAAATCGCTCGTCCGCTGCCTGTGCTCCGCTGCGAGTGACTGCCCCGCCAGTGCCAACTGCTGGGTTTGTAGAGTCGTAGCTAAGAATCCCACGCAAGTCATGCCCACGCAATGGCGTAATGCGCGGTGGTTAGGGGGTGCTTTCAAACGTTTCTACTGCACAGATCTCTTCTTGTTGAAGAGCAGCCCCATCTGTTGTATGCAGGCTTCGCTACTGCCGGCGACCAGCCAAGGTACTGAAATTATTGTTTTAGACCTTTGTGAAGCATCACCGAGTAGCCTGGAAGGGCGACTGCAAGTACTGTACTGCAAGGTGTTCGCTGCTGCGTGCTGCTGCACGTGCTGACGGAACTCACCATACCTGCTGTGTGGTGCTGCCCAACAATGTTCTAAACACAAATTTCCCTGCTGATGCTGTCCCGAGGACGTTAGACACATGGCCTCGCGCAACGCAGGGGTTCCAGGCTGCAGAGGCCCCTGCGGCCGTCAAGTGAAATACCTAGCAGATCTGGCCGGCTGTTTGGGCTCCAGATTAGGAAGGAAAGGGGGAAGGATGGGGCGACTGAACGCCTGGACCAAAGCAAAGGTGAGGGTGCGAAGATGGCCCTAATGGCAGTAAACCGGGAACCGGCGGGTCACTGGCGGCAACACTGCGACGCCACCTGTCCCTCCCGTGGGCAAGGGAGGGCGGGAAACAAACTGGAACGCGCCAACACGCAAGAGGCGTGTCTCGCTTCCCTCAGAGTGTTGCCTCAAAGTGTTGACACAGGTGCGAGACCAGCGAGTCTGCCTCACACCACAGGGCTGGGCAGGGGGCATGCAACAGAAGGCCCCCTGCCCCACACGGCTGTTCCCGTGCAGCATAATGCATTCACGACACATGCACTGCAGACTGCGCGTTCTGTATGGATTGATGTCTCACTTGCCCACGACAGCAACACGTGTGATATTTGATGATCACTCGCACAATGAGGAGGGGGGGAACTCTGCACTGTGTGTGCACTGCTCACGATCTCTTGGCACTTGTCAATGCATCACACGAGCCTCGTGCTGTTGCTGGCCTGGACCACCCCAACTCACTTGGGCTGATGCATGGCCTTGAAACTGCAGATTCTGTGGCAGGTCCACGCTCTACCACCACTGTCCCGTGGCCGCGCTAGCTGATGGGTGGCGGCACAGCAGGCCTGCTCGCGTGTTTTGGGACGGATCTGGGTGGGCGCATGCAAAACCCCTGCGTACAGCACCGTCCACAAACAGCGAGACGATGATCTTCACTGACGCGTCCATGCTCCGCAGCAGGACAGGCCGTACAAGCCCCGGGAGGTTTCCCACTTGCACTGGGCTGCGCTGTCCTGGGCAACAGCTTGCCAGCAGGTTCATGTTGGGATAAGAGCACATGTCATGTACCCTGGTACCAATGTTGTGCCCCTGATTTCGTGAATTGATGTCATGATGTGCAGCACAACGTGCCAGCTATGAGCCCGAGTTGCCCCACTTGAGTGTCATTGGGGGACAGCCTGGCAGGCCGTCCACTTCCGCTGAGCCACAGTCAAACAGCAGCCCGTTCACCACTGCTACACTAATCCAACCTCACGATGCCGGTGGGCTTGGCAAGCTGCATGGGTGTTAACATGCAAAAACCGGCTGCGGCCCCCTGCGACCGACACTCAGAGACTGTTCGGTGCACACGGGTGGGGAGGCGCCAGACTTCCAAACCAAATGGCAGCTGTTCGCGGACGTTAGAGGTGGAAACATATGTCTCAGATTTCTTGCACAATGCAGACATACAAGGTCCCTGCGCCAGACCGAATGCTGCACTGGTGGGTGGTGCCGCGTCCGGGCTTGCCTAGCAAGGCGAGATGGTCGCACCGCGCGTATCTTATCCGAAGCATTATCCAATTCGCAGGCGCGGTGTTGTTGCGCCTGGGGTGGCGGCCAGGCCATGCAGGCCAACCAGTTTTGTGGCTGCTGCGGGCCGTTTCGACGACGTGAGTGTTCCATATGGAATAAAGTAGCGATTTAGATATTCATTCGGTCGTCGCGACGGGCGAATGATGGCTCAACGACCCAATGCAAGTCGGGCGGCGGCCCTTGGACAACCCGTGGCGGAGCGTCGCTGCGCGCAAAGCGCTTTGCGCCACTCATCTTGTGTGGCCCTTCACTTTCTAGTTGTTCATGCAGCTTTCTCCTTCGCCAATGCCTTGTGCCCCCGTTCACGCAGTATGGCGGTCAAGACAACAATCGCAGCAGTGGCAGCGGCTATGGTCGAGGCCGGGGCTCTGGTGGCGGGCGCCGTGAGTACGACGACCAGCGCGGCTCCGGCGGTGGCCGCGGCTCCTACGACCGTGGCGGGTGCGTGAGGGTCAAGGGCAGGTTTGAGGTGCAACACAATACCTGCGTATGGTTTTTGGCGAACCTACAGCACATGCGCTGAGCCCCGAGCAGTTCGTCGAATGCGCATCTGGCAAGCCAGCCGCCGGCTGACCCACCTGCACTATCGACTATCCTCAGGCGTGGGGGCAGCCTGGACTCTGTGGATGAGGGCTCTTCCGGCCAGCAGCGTCGCAGCGGCGGAGGCAGCTACCAGGGCAGCCGTGGCGGAGGTGGTGGCTACCGTGGTGGCGGTGGCGGGGGTGGAGAGGGCGGCAGCTATCGGCAGGGTGATGGTGGTGGCTACCGTGGCGGCGGGCGCGGCGGTGGCAGCTACCAGGGTGGCGGCCGCGGCTCCCGCGGCGGTGTGGGTGGCGGTGAGGGCCGCTTCCAGCGCGTGCTGAGCCCTGAAGTGGAGGCCGCCAACGCTTCCATCAGAGCGGCCTCCAGCTGGCGCGAGCTGCAGCGCATCCTAGAGTCAGCCGGTGGTGGCGGCTCCAGCCTGGACCCATTCCAGCTGGTGGCCATGCTGTCGCGTGCTGTGGCGCTTCCGTCTCCCGGCGCCCACGAGCCCGATGACCTGGCGGATTATCAGGGGTTTGTGGCGGGGGTGTACGGCTGGCTGCTGTCCAAGGTGGAGTTGGCGCGCCCCCAGCAGCTGGGCCTGGCGGTGTCGTGTGTGGCGCGGCTTGGGCTGTACAACGCCGAGCTGGTGGGGGCGCTGGTGGCCAAGAGCGAGCGCGAGCTGCACAACTTTGGTGACCAGGACATCGTGCTGCTGCTGGAGGGCATGGCCACTCTCGGCTATGCCCCAGAGCCCAGCTTTGCCGACCAGCTGCTGCGGCGCACCCAGGACCGCCTGCGCACCATGGAGTCGCGCAACCTGGCGGCGCTGCTGGGTGCGCTGCCGCGCCTGGGGTTGACCCCCAGTCCAGAGTGGACGGCGGCCTACGCCGACGCGGCCCTGGCCACCGTGCGCAACTTCAATGCCACCCAGTTCTCCTCCCTCGTAGTCAACCTCGCCTCTGTGGGCTGGCGTCCCTCGGGCCCTGCGCAACTGCAGCCGCTGGTGGACCGCTGCTACCCTCTCCTGCAGTACGAGCTGCGTGTGGACCGCGATCGTTCAGGCAGAGCCACGGCGGCACCAGCGGTGGCGGCGCCGGCTGCGGCACCAGGGGCGGCTGCCGGTGCAGATTCGACTGCGGCGGCTGGGGCGCCGCCCCAGCAGCAGCAGCAGCAGCAGCAGCAGCAGCAGAATGCGGGGCAGCAGCGGTGGGGCCAGCAGCGGCGGTCTGAGCGGCCCGGCCCTGTGGAGCCCCAGGTGGCGATCGACTGGCTCGTCAATGTTGCCTGGGCCCTGGCACAGATGGTCGCTGGCACAGGCGCCAGGCTGCCGCAGCAGTGGACGACCGCCGTGTTTGACAAGCTGCAGGTGGGGCTTGTGCCAGGGAAATGTTTGTGCACGTGCGCCCGGCTGTCTTGTCCTGAAAGGAGTTGAAGGATGGGCGCTCAGCGAGAGCCAGTTGGTCGGGTTTGTTTTTTCTCAACACTGACCTGATGAAGCGCTCAACCAGCTTGCCTCCCCCCTTCTACTCTGCAGTACGTGCGGCGCTTCATGCGGCCTGCTGAGCTGGCCAGCCTGGTGTCGAGCTGTGCCTACCTGGGGGCGCGGCCCTCCGACGCTACTATGGCTTCCCTGCTGCGCGACCTGCAGAACATGTACAGCGACGCGTCAGGCGACGACCTCGCCAATTTCGCCATGGCAATGGCCCAGTTCCAGTACCGCCCTGCGTGAGTGGCAGGGGTGTGTGACGAGTGACTCAGTGTAGTGGCTGGGGTGGAGGCCCTGGCTAGGTAACCATGTCTGCACAGGGGAACCTCGTGCTTCCTCCTGTCCACCCCTCTCTTCTCGTCCACGGAATACTTGTGCGGCTGCTGCCTGAGCCCCATCCTTGTGCCCCAATTTCCTCCTCCTTCTCCAGGGACCGATTCCTGGACGACTTCCTCATCACCCTGCGCAGGAAGCTGCCCAACACCAGCGCCACGGGGCTCAGCACTATTGTTGCCGCGCTGCCAGCGCTCAGCAGCGGTGTCCGCCTGAACGAGGTCGTGGCTGATGCGCAGGCGCGCTACGACGCCCTGGCCCAGCAGCAGCAGGCGGAGATTGAGGCGTACCAGGCGGAGGGCGCCGAGAGCTACCAAGATCCGCAGCAGGACCCCTCTGCAGCCCCTGAGGCGGTCACAGCCTAATGCGCCCAAGTGACGCTCGAGCATTTCCTCCTGTTTTTGGGCCCCAAAAGTGCTGCAATCCTGGATTGCGCAGGGAAGGACGCAAGACTCTTCTCAACAAACCATGCGCATGGTGCTGCTAGTGGAGCTCAGCTGTCAAACTTGTGACTGACTTGTTCAGCAAGCGCGGCTAGATGGAGGGTGGTTGCAGCTGTGTTTTTGCAGCTTTGTGGCTGATTGTAATGTGCGCATCGTTCCCCAATTGCCCTTGTGGGCGAGTATGTTGCGTCTTGCCTTCTTGTGAGAACAGTATTACACGTGGCTGCAAGGCCGGAGATAATCCTCAAAAGATCCACACACCCGACTTCAATAACGGAGGCCGCACCCAGATGAGGCTGCAGCCCACGTGCAACTCGAGAGCGGCAGAAAACCGCAATCGCAGGGGGGGAGAAACCCATCACCTGGCATTGGCTGGTAGCAATGCAGCCCTGCTGTCGCGCTCCTGCTGCCGCTGCCAAGCCGCGAGCTCCCTCAGAAGAAGGGGGTGGGCCGAGGCCTCTTCCTCCAACGCGTGCTGCACCTGCGCTGCACCCTGCTGTGCGGCAAGCTCCCCAAGGAACCAGGACAAGGGGGCGGGCAGCCGCCGCAGCAGCGAAGGGCTACCAGTGCCCGCCACACCCAGCACATCGGCCGCACGTGCCTCGTGCCACAACAGCAGCTGCTGAGCGCTGCTGAGCGCGTCAGCAAGCCCGCCGGCCTGCACCTCAAGCCGCAAAAGAGCCAGATATGAGGCGAGGCTGAAAGCCAGTGTCACGGCTACGCGGTAGGCTGTGCGCGCATTGTGTGTGTGGCCCAGGCGCTCCGCCAAGAAGCCGCGCCGCGCCCAGTCCGCCGACGCCAGCACAGGGGGCCTGGGACCGACGGCATCGCCGGTGCCGCTAGCTTGCGAAACGGAGCGCTCCTGGCCAACACCTGACAAGGTGCTGTTTGGCAGCCGCCCGCCTTGAGAGGCCAGGACCCACTCGGCATGCGTCACCCCTGTGTTGGCATTTGGGTGTGTATGGGGAGTCAGACCGCAGCATGCACAGCAGGGGGATTCACATATGTTGCGATCTCAACAACACTGACAGGCGCGCAATGCCCGTAAGCCATGATACTTTACCCAACGCCACAGCCCCCGCACCTCTAGTCTCTTTGAGGGACTGGTCTAAGCAGCGCCACTCCAGGTACGCACTCAGGTCGTGCTAGTGGGAGGCGGCCGAGCAAAGGGGCAAGATTTAGCAGCTGACCTTGCATGCACGTGGCGTTCGACAGGGCAGCACGTGACCCCGGTTCCCAACATGCTGGGCAACGCTGTCTACCAAGTTTCACGAGCAGGGGACTTACCCAAAGGCCTACAACCAGCTCGTCGAGCCACCGCACACATAGCCTGGCTGGTGTGTCCCTGGCCAGTCCCGAATCCTCTGCGAATGCTTCCCAGCGCAGCAGCTGGATGCCGTTGCTTGAGGGCTGCACCAGGTGCCGGCCGCCTGCAATCGCCTCCCGGTCTGCCTCCAGAGATCGCATCTGGTGGACGCCGCCACCCCCAGAGGCATTTGCGGATGCGGCGCTGGGCGAGATTGTACCCGACCCAACTGAGAAGAGCGGCCCGTGAAGCCCCGCTATCCGTGAGCTGCCAACAAGCACGCTGCCTGGCGTTCCAGAGCTGGTGCGTGAGCGCAGTAAAAGACTGCCCGCCTTGGGCAATCCCTGCTGCTGCTGCTGCTGCTGCTGCTGCTGCTGCTGCCGCTGCTGCTCCTTCAACATCCGCTGCTGCAACTTTGGCCTCTGCTCGTCATGCTGCTGCTGCTTCTGCTGCATCTGCTGCTGGTGGTGGTGGTGGTGGTGGTGCTGCTGCTGGTGCCGAGTCTCTGTCCCAGCAGCGTCCTCATTGCCCTCACCCACAGCCTGCCTGTTGCACATGCAAGAGCGCCGCGGCTGCGGTTGGCACAGGATTCTCATCGACAGCAGTCCCAGCATTGAACGCGTGTCCCGATGGCAACTGCGGCTTCGTCCACGCTGCGATGGGCGGCTGTTTGACTCGCCGCCACAAGCACCGTCCTGATCGCATGTGCTGTCCGCTGACGCGACACAGTACTCACGCGCCTCTCCTAGCGGCCGCGTGCGAATGCGGGGCAGCCCATCTGGCGGCGGAACGAATGTGCCCTCGGGCGGCGGCTGTCCTGCACCCTCGCCACCAAAAACCGCTTGCCATAGCAGCGGGTTAGAGCCGGTGCGAAGCTCTTCCTCCCGTGTCTGGTCAGTTGGCAGGGCTGCCAGAGTGCTAGCGCTGGCCAGCCGTGACAGGTCCTCAATGCCCGCCCTGGAGGCCAGCGACGACGAGTGCTGCACCGCCCCGCTGCCATCTGAGGAGGAGCGTTGCGGCGACCCGGCAGCCTCCCTGTCCCGGAAGTGGCCCAAGCGGCGTGTGCTGCGGCCCAACAGCAGCACCCGCCCCGCCATCGGCTC